CCGGCGCGACCGTGAGGGGCGCGGGGAGGGCGCAGAGGCCCGGCTGGCGCGTCTCGGGTGGAGGTGAGGGGTTGTTGGGGTGAGGGTGTGAGAAGAAAGCCGGGGGAGGGCGTGGAGGTGAGCGTGTGGGGAAGTAGCAGAGGGGCCCAGAAGTGCGGGGCAGGGTCGCAGCAATGGGTGCAGAGGGAAGTTTGTGATCCTGGAGGGGGGAGGCGGTCTCGAGTGGGACCCCGGGGCATCTGTAGGGACGCGTGTCTCGTGGAGCACGCGGGAGGGACGCGAAGGGGAGCGGGGGCCGAGGGGTTGGCTGGGGTGCAGAGCGTGAGTCCTACCGGCTGCGCACGGGGCTCACCTGGGCTCTCGGAAGCCCTACGAGCGTCCCCTCCTTCCCTGCTCCGAACCCGGGAGGGGATCCCGCGGCTCCGGGGAGCGGCTTCCCCGCCAGGAGCAGAGTTGTCTCTGGGGCGCTGAGGAAAGAGGACTGAGCTGCAGCCCAAGCTGTCCAGAGGAGACGGAGTTGTCATCCGGTCCGGAATGAGGAAGAATGCAGCTGCTGTTTGCGCCCCGGGATCCCAAGAAGTGCAGCAGGTAAAGAGCACGGCCACTTCGCCGTATTTCCTTAATTCTGGACCCTCCTCCTGTACGCGCGCCTCCCTGTGAGCCTCTCCCGACTCCCTCAGCCCTTCCCCAGGACCTCCCACCCCCACCACAGCTGCACCCCGGCAGGGGTCCCAGCCGCAGTCCTCCCCATCCTCACCCCCGTCCCGGCTGCGGTCTCCTTCCTCTGCCCCGGGAAGACTGTAAGACAGGGTTTACGCTGCGGCCCGAGGCTGCTAACTGACCTGCACTCTGAAACAAGGTTTTAAAAACTTCTTGGGTTTAGGGAGGAGCGGGGTGGATTTATTCACTGAAAATTGACTTAGTCAAAACAATTTGCCAAAAAATTGCCCTGGATTTCTGGGGAGCTCTGCAAAACATTCAGTAAGCAGTGTAGGTATGCAATGTAAAGTTCTTCACGGTTTGCTTTGGGCCCGTTAGAACCCAAACTGTCCGATAAGCACAGGTGGCTCCTAACCTCTTCAAAGAACTCTATCTTGATGAACGTGGCCTGTTGTACTCGGTGCCCCCAAAAGCAGCTCTGGTTGGTATTTATATATTTACATATAAATATATGGTCACATCAGAATGAAAGTCACTGATTTTGAAATCATTGTCAAATATTCGGATTATAAAAATTCATCAAGTGATGTACACGTGGCTTTTGTAGTGATGGCACTTAGAATATCTACCAGGATTGGGAAACTAATGTCCGGAAGCTCCTTGAAGTAGATAAATCTGTGTAAGTCATGTAGATTGCATTTTAAGCAAACCTTTTCTATATAGTTCTCCTTATGTTTTGCTTCCTTTAATATGAGCATGGTATAAAAAAAACTAATTAAAAAAACCCTGCACCATATTATTTAAGAAAAACACACATAAACTGAAATCTTGGTTTTTTTGGAGATGGACTGTTTCACTCACAAGCTCTGCCTGGTGTTGAAAGTTCTTTTGTGGCACTGTGCTTCAGAACAGTGACTGGCAAAGAGGTATCTACTTAACATGTGCAAAGATATCTAACAGTAAATTTCCAAAGTTTCCCAGTAGTCACAATTTCAAATATTTTACTTCCATAATTCCTATGGGTTTTTTCCCCTTTGATGATAGTTTCTGCTGAATCGGACATTAAACATAGTATTTAGTGGCTGTTATACATAAATCATTCACATACATGCCCCACTTAGCCTGGAAGAGGTGTCCTGTTTGGCAGTTATAATCTGCGACATAATCTTTCTTTCATCTCAGAAAAAAGATAGTGATGAATAGCTTATGAATAGAATCATCAGACATATGGAGCAGGCCATAAAAGAAATAAGCAAACTTCCATATTTAACAAGTTGTTTGCTTTTTTAACTTTCAAAACACCTCTCAGAAAAAAATAAGGGAAATAATATACTCTTTTAAAGAGGCATTTTATTAATTATGACCGAAAGATTTAAATTGCTCTTATTTAAATAAGTACATCATATATACATATACACACAGTTACAGTTTATGGCATCATTTGGTTTTCTTGGGAGTGACTTTACTTTTTATACGTCAGAACTTCATTTAGATGTTTATTGTTGATTAAGAGTGTGTCTTACAAGAGACCCTATTGCACAATGAGTAAAATAAGAATCCATGGACATGATTATACTAAGCAAAAGAGAAGGTGTATATGATTTTATTTCTTTTTCTAGAATTTTTAGAAAGTGATTTCTATGGAAGTGATAATAGAGATATAGTAAGCAAAATACGTAATTATCCAAAGACTTTGATAATGATGCTTTGTAATTTTAAATACATATTTTCATATTTTCTTTAAATTTATGTGAAGTAAGCACAATTGACAGTGGTACAAGTTACCCTGTCTTAGACACTTTTCTCATTGACATCTGCACCTTAAAAGAGGAGACTTTTATTTTGGCTCCCATTTCAGTCTATAGCTGGCCAGCAGGACAGAAAAGCACAGCAGAGGGAGAAGGGGGGGAAAACAGGTCACCTCAAGGCAGCCAGGAAGCAGAGAGCTAAGGCAGGAGCCACCTTCCATGTCATAGCCTCTTCAGACCAATCTCACCTCCTAACAGCAAGTTTGTGGGCCTCCCAAAGTCCAGCCTCTGACTGCATGAGACTGTGGGGGGCCCTCAGATATAAACTATAGCATACCCTAGTTTGAAGCCTATCTGCATGTACACTTTAAAACAGCAGCCTCTAAAGGAAATAAGATAACTATATTACAATTTGTATTTTTATCTTATCATTTTGTTTTATATGAGGGAAATATTAATGTACCCATAGGAGACAGCAGAAAAAGTATGGAGATAATAAATCAATGCTTCCAAATTGCCTTAAAAATCACAAGCCTCTTTGAAAATCTGGTCATACTTTTAGATCTGCTATCCAGAAAAATATCTGGGCTTAATACTTAATTTTGATCAAGCGTCAGGTTGATACTTCATCTGGACCCAGTTCCCAGAGGAAGCCCAGTTCTGCCCTTGGAACTGGAGCACCCCAACTGAAACTGCAGCATGTAGCTAGTTAGGGAGCCTGTGCAGAGCCTGGAGTTCTTCATTTATATTGAAACAGAACTGCAGAAATCCTAAAACGTGAGCTGCTGAAATGAAAAGAACACAAACCAGGCACTATTTTATAAAAACTGTGCTTGTTATTTTTTGCTTAGAAAACTTTATTCAATATTTGTTGCTAAACACTGTATTTTCAAAAAAAAAGATATAAGGAGTAAGTGATCTTAGTGAGAAAAGTGAAAATAAAAACATTAAATATTTAACTAAAATTGTATTAAATTGAATCCAAAGACCTTTCTAGAAACTACTATATAAAAAGGCTAAGGCTACAAAAGTGTAATAGAAATATCTATGGAATCTTTGAATTATTTGCTTGATATTCTGAAATTTTGCACTTAAAAACTTTACATGAAATGCAGTTGAATTTGTGTTGTCTTTTGAAGTTGTAACATGACTACAGACACTGCCTGCTGCAAATGCCCCTTACACAGAAAGAACTGCTGCATTTTCTCCTCTCCTGTCCAGAGGGGCAACTTTTCCTAACCAACTGGCCTTTCTTGGTAACTCTTTTCAGTTTCTCCTTTTCTGTCTCTTTCTTTTAACACTCTTGACTCCCCTTATTTATAAGCCCTCTTAATCAAAAATGATTTGACATAACTACTGAGTAAATTATTTAAACCATTTGCCAGATACTTTATTTCTCACAAGTACACCTAATATCTTTGTATATTAACCTAATAGTTTTGTGTTCTTTTGATTTCTTTTAGAGACAAAGTCTCACTATATAGTGTAGGCTGGCTTTGACCTCACTATATATCCCAGGGTGGCTTTGAACTTTCAGTGATCCTCCTGCCTCAGCCTCCCAAATACTAGGTTTAAAAGTATGCACCACCATGCCTAGACAACCTGTGTATTCTTGCTTTTCCTCTAAGAAGTAGCATGTAAATTCCTACATGAAACCAGGTACTTTAGATATTTCATTTTATCTCACCTCGAACCCACTCTGGGATTAGGACCCTGTACGACACGGAAGACAAAGAAGCTGTTGCTTCCCATAATGGTTAAACTGCACAGCAAACTCCAATCCCATTCTTCCTACCATGGCACAAGTCCCAAGAAAATTGTCCTTGTTCTTGTGACTGCAGATTAAAGTTCACATGACCAGTACTAGTAATGCATTTCAATCTAGGGAAAATACTGTCACTCTGAAAGTTAACATGAGGTACTATAATAAATCTAATAAATCGGTGTCACTAACCTTGGTGCCCTTACAACCTCACAGATTTATTTAAGAAGACTTCCACTTTGTCTTCTTATTTTCCTTTGACTTGTCAGTATATTTAGTAAACACAGGATGTTGATAAAATAGTATTTTATTAACACAGTATTCCATTAGAAAGTCTTGAGATATGTTGAGCATGGTGAAACAATGCTTTCACTCATCGAAACTTCCCTTTTAGTAAAGATTTTAATTTTATTGTATTTTATTACAGGTTTTGTTTTCATTACCCTCCTTCTTTTCATATTTCCAAACAATGCAGTCAGTGTATATGACTGAGGAATGGAAGCCTGACTGATACAACTGAAATAGTAAAATAAAGATCCTAACCCTTTCATATGACCATTTGACCTCAAGCACACGTAGCTGTTCAATAGTGTGTGATTCCTTAAGAAATAGCATGTTCTTCTTGGGGATCTATGGTAGTCTTCTGTTACGGTGCCAAAATACTTTAGATAATCAACTAATAAAGATGAAAGGCTCACCTTGGCTCATGGTTTTAGAGGCTTCAGTTCATGGTTAGAGGACTTAGTTTAGAGGCATAGAGGCCCACGGTTTAGAACTTTCAGTCTCCTTCCTTTTGGGCCTGAGATGAGGTGGGAGCTCATGGTAGAGCAAACTGCTCATCTCATGGCAGACAGGAAGTACAGAGAGAGAAGGAGACCAAGGTCCCTCAGTGACCAAAAACCTCCCACTGCCCACAGACAGGCTCTGTCACTTCCCAATTAGCATTGTAGGTTGGAGACCAAATTTTTAACACATTGGCCTTCAAGAGGTGGGGATTCCAGATCCAAACTGTAGTGGGACTTTTATGTTTCTTACAGCTGGGAACCTTAACTACTATCTAGAAAGTAGGAACACCATATTTTAAAAATATTGTTTGTCCCTATTTTCCTGCATTTCCTTGTCTAATTCTCATTAGATCTATGTTGGAACATCTCACTCCTACTTTTAAATTATTCTTGAACTATTGATTCCTTTATTCTGAATTATGATAGTTTATTTATGCAGGCAGTTTGTAACTTTTTTGTGACCTCATCTCTGCTAAGAAGTTTTTTTTGACACAGGCATCCTCAAAGTACCAAGTATGGAGATGTCCCTAGAAGTTGTTTTACATTTCTTTTCTGTAGGAGTCTCAGGGATCTTATGGTCTCCAGACCAGTTTTGTGTGTGTATTTCATGGTCAGTGTGACTATTACCTACAA